GAAGCTGTCGTCACCTCTGTCAACGATAATAATAGAAATAACTCTATTACTCGATAAACATATAAGGAAATGGTGAACCCAAACCATTAGAACCGATCTTACCGATGGTTAGCACTATGTGTCTGAGAAGGACCTCTTGGTGGTTGTGAAGCTGTCATCGCATCGTCCAAATGTAAACATAGATATGTTATTCGATAATCACATACAAAATTGTTGAACAAAAACTGTTACAACTGTCCTTACCGGTTGTTCACTGCTATTACCATGGTCGTCCCTTTTGTCCTTCAACTTGAGGCCCGACAGCTCATCCACTCTAGTAGCTGCGGTGAGCCTCCGTTTCATGGCACTAGTGGCTCTTTTCCACTTCAAGTTTTTCCTTTTTTCCCTCGCACCTAAGCCCAAGTTTGCTCGATCCTCCATCCGCTCGATTGGCACCTATTGGTGGCCTTTAGATAACAGGAGATCATTGTCCATAAAATACTCTCATCTGGCCTCATCCAAGATAAGGTCCAAGGTCTCCACTATCCACAATTGCAAAATAGGGATTGTGATTAAATTTCAGGGAAAATTATTTTACAAAACTCACAATAGAAATTAGTAGTTGTTCACTCACATGTTCTGATGACTCCAACTTCTGAACTGCCTCGTAGAAGTCTTTTGGCTTCTGATTGCACTGTCATTTGCACATATGTGGGTAGACGTTGTCCTTTATAGTAGATGGGCCAACTATTTTTCACAAGGCCAAAATTATCTCCGTGGCCCAGAACTGCATGTCAAATGTAGCCATTATCAAACCGTAAATGATAAATGAGTGTAACCATAAATTATTATGTCAAAAGGAAAATGAAAAATGTTATGTGACAGTACTTGCATCACCCACGTAAATCCATAAATGTTGTGTTGTAAACGAGTGTCCTTCTACAAGTTTGAGGCAGGGACTTCGAACCCTTTCAAAAGGTATTCGAAGGTCAGCCTCCAAACATAGTGACCCCATGGGACGACATTCCAAGCATCGATGTCCTCCACCAATGACAACTACCAAGGCATCACCCATCTACGGTAGTCTTGACCAAATAAAATGTTATTCGCGATCAAGACGAGTGCCATCTTGGTCGCGTCTCCTAGTTGTTGAAAGTTGCCTTCACGAAACGTATGAAGTAACCACTATAGCTTAACACTCTCCTATCCGTTCTAGTATCTCACATGAATTCCGTCTGCAACAACCTCGAGCAATCATGTGAACACATCGAGCATTCACCCGAACTTCAGTCTGGTGATAAGGCAGAACTCCTACTTTGATATACGTGCCTTGCTCTTGCCAATGGCAAACCATAGCTCATGCTCCATTGAATCTGTCTTTGCCATTCGATGAATCATGATGTTATGCAAGAGTCCAGTGCAAAAGTAACCTTGTGTATATACATCTAGCAGCATTCCAAACCATGTATGCTTGACTGCATCGTACTCCCCTTTCTCTTGGAGAGTCTTACTAATGTAATGTAGTTGCAACCACTTACAATGGGTGTTAATAAAGACATTGAATGGCCACTTCTCCCTTGGCACAAGCTGTCAAGATCCTCATACTATCTGAACTGCATCTGCAAAACATGGCACACATGCACGAGTGAGTTAACCCATAATGTGCAACAAGGTATATTGAAGAAAGAAATAAATGTTGTTACACGCCATGCATATCAAGTAAAATGTTGTTACACACCACACATATCAAGTAAAATATTGTTACACGCCATGCACATCAAGTAAAATGTCGTTACACGCCAATGCTAACACGCTAATCACTAAAATACACAATGTAGTGAGACGCCAACCATGGTGTGTGACACGCCAAACAGTGTAACTACTGACTCATTACACAAACTGCCCTTAAATAACCAATGTCATGACATGTTAAAAACCCCAAAACCAAGTAACCCACTACATGCCATATCAAATGTTGTAGTTCGTGTTACATGATATGCATATGCAAACCCCTTCAAAACTTTGGTATGACTACAAAACCGGGAAAAAAATAGTTTAAACTAAACATAACAATTGCCAAAAGGGAAAAGCACGAACATATCAAACAAACCCACCAAAAAATTAACAAACAGAAGAAAGTTTTAATTTTAGACTGATTGACCTCTTCACTGATAATCGACATTGTTGCTCTCGTGTTGTTAAGCTTGCCAAGAATGAAGTTGAACACTTTGGCATCTTTGGGAATGAGGAATGAATCAAACTTTTTAAGTTCCTTCACACAGACGTTTGCGAATTCTAAAAAATATTTAATTTAAATGAGATGACCTTATAATATTCATTTACTCATTTCATGCATTCAATGGAAGTCCAATCGATTTTCTTGTTATTAGCCCGTTTTTTTTCCTATTTCAAACCATGTCGTGCCATATGTTCAAGCCACACCATCTGACACACTCTAAACCTTGGCATGTCACAGATTCCCTCTATGACATGTCACAAACTCTGAACCCTGGCGTGTCACAGATTCGCTCCATGGCGTGTCATAAACTCTTAATCCTAACGTGTCACAGATTCCCTCCATGACATGTCACAAACTCTGAACCCTTCCGTGTCATAGATTCCCTCCATGGCATGTTGCAAACTCTTAACCTTGCCGTGTCACAACTGTGTCACATATGCTTACCATGGAATGCCACATTATGACACTGGCATGTCACATATTCTCACCATGTCATATCCCATATTCCCTTCAAGTCGTGTCACATATTCTCATCCTACTGTGTCACATATTCCCTCCATGGCATCTCACAAACTCTAAACCCTACCGTATCACAGTCGTGTCACACATTCCCGACATGTCGTTTCACGTCACATTTTGACATTGGCATGTCACATATTCTCACCATGTCATCTCACATATTCCCTCTGAGTCGTCTCATATATTCTCACCCTACCGTCTCACATATTCCTCCATAGAGTGTCATAAACTTTAAACCCTGCCGTGCCACAACCGTCTCACATATGCTTATTGTAGCATGACCATTTCGTGCTTTGGATTCACATCTTTCTCCTTTCGATTCACCATCGTATCACGAATTTCTAGTTTCATATCATTTTTGAAGCTTTCAATTCATCACAACCGATTCCTCGATTGGCTTAATATCACTATTCTCATATTATCTAAATGTCATGTCCAAAATATCTAAAAAAACCTTTTCATGCAATATTATTTTGTTTTGCACAAGTTTTGCAAAAAAACAAATGGATGTTTTGCACAAAATTAGATGTTCGCAAATTCTTTGAATATTTATCTATTTATTTTTTTATTTTTCGCGTGTTTGAGGGTGCGCGTCAACGAAGATGTCTCATTAAGGGCATTTTTATCCCAAAATCTATTTTCGTGGTTACAAATAGTTAAAATTATCTGAAAACATATTTCCAAAAACACTTTATTTTTAAAGGTCAAAAAAATTTTTTGCCTACTTTTAATGTAGGGCATTCTATAAACCTATCTAATGAAGGAAGGATAGATCGACTATAGCTTTTCGCCGACCTACTGCTGATGACAAACCTTGAAATCTAATTGCCAGTTAAATAGAAGAATGCCTTATCTACTTTGCATAGAAGCATTGAAAAATTGGATCATCAATTTTGGATAGGATTAGAATGCTGGCAATGCAATGAGAAAGTTGCTTAACTATACCTTCTGTGACAGTTTGTGCTGCAAAAGCCCTACAAATCCAAGCCTCAAACACCAAATAGAACAACATATAATCTCTACGCCTTCGTCATAGAAATATGATAATTTTGTTGATAAGAAAAAACTTTTTTGCTACGTAGGTGGGAATGAATATATAAAATTATTAATAGTCTTGCAATCATCCTCCACTTTGACTTTGCAATTGCAACAACTTTTCTATATAATTTTCTGTGGAAAGACTTCCTTAATTGCTAACAACTCTAACTATACCCGAGCGCAAAGCATGGGCAATTTTTTAGTGTCTTAGCAATTCCACCCAACCAAAGGTGTTGGTAGTATGAAATAAAAATCAATGAGCACTCCTGCGCTTAATTAAAACTGATGAGGATCCGCCACGGTAATAAGCAATGGCCTAGAGAAATATATGCAGATTATTTTGCTGAACATCATGTATTTCTCTATATATATAGACAAAAATCCCCGAGTGCCCAACCAAAGCAGAATAACGTCAGTCGATAAGCAGAAAGCGGTTAGCAGGCAAGGAGAAGCAGCTATGGAAGCTCTTTGTCCCTCACTAACCGCCGTTTATTTTGCGAGTAAATTCCCACTTAGCTCTCCTAGATCATTTCCCCAAATTGTCTCTCTAGACGCGAACAGGTTTCCGGTCTGGGTCCGGAAGAACGAAAGCAAGAACCACTCGAACCTTTACTTAACGTCTTTAGTTTCTTGCATTGGTTTATCCACAACTGGAATTGCAACTGCTGCTTCAGCTTCCTTCGTTTCTTCTTCTTCTTCCTCAACAACTGACAACAACTATTGGATGGTGCTAATGGCTAAGCCTCCAGAAGGGGTCAGTTCCAAACCACAAATCATTGATTACTATGTTAGCACTCTGGAAAGAGTTTTGGGCACTGAAAAAGACGCTCAGATGTGTATATATGATGCTTCTTGTGATACCCGCTTTGGTTTTTGCTGCCATATTGATGAACAAGCTTCCCGTGAACTTGCTCGTCAGTATCTTCTGCTTCTTCTTCTAATTTTTGGTTGTATCTGCTTCATTGCTGCATATTTTCATATGGGTGCTTGATATTTCTGTTAAAAGAGCCATTGCTACTCTTTTTCACTTATTTTGCATCTCTATGCTGTAGGTTTACCTGAGGTTTTATCGGTTAAGCCAGACCCTGGGTACAATTCTGAGAAAAAAGATTACACCGCTTCAAACATTGAGGTCACTAACATATTCAATTCAGGAGTAGCAAGTTGGCAGTTGTTTCCTGCTGGGAACACCAAACACTGGCTTGTTCGAATGGACAAGCCAGGCGTCGAGGTTGTTACAAAGGCTCAAATGGTTGATTATTACACTCAAATATTGACTAAGGTTTTGGGAAAGTAAGTATTTTGTCATTAAGCATGAAAGAAATTTGTTTCATTTGTATCATACTGTTACTTAATCCTGGAGTGAAATGATTGTTGCAGCGAGAAAGATGCCCAAATGTGCATATATCATGTATCTTGGCAATCCCATTTTGGTTTCTGTTGTGAACTTGATGAAGAATGTGCGCAGGAACTAGCTGGTCGGTATATATTTGTTCCTTTAATCTGCATTTATCCGGTAAAAGTATTTTGTAGCTTTGGACTAAATGCTTCCTTTTACCACAGGTGTCCCTGGAGTTCTATCTGTTGAGATAGATAGGAATTTCGAGTCAGAGAACAAGGACTTTGGAGGTTTCTCCCTTGTTTGGAATAATTTTTTCTTATTTAAAATATGTTCCTTTTGTTCCAATACAGATCTCTTTATTGACTAACCTTACCAGCAGTGAGCTACATTGAAATGTTTTAGAATAAGAACTAGGGGAACTTTGGTATATTGAGGGTTTTCAAATCTAAATCAAGCAGTTCTGTTTTTGGATTAGATGAACTGCTAGAAAAAGTTTCTCCATCTGTCTGGCTTGGCAAGAATTTAGGTAAGGATATATATGAGAGTTCAAAGGCTTCAAGCAGGAAATGTTGTCAATATAAGGATTAGAATGATGTAGATCAAAACCTGTGCTGGTGAGTAGTTGGATAAACTATCTTTTAAATTGAGGAAAATGCCCAAATTCTTCTATCAGATAATGGTACCATTTGATGCTATGTTTTCCTGTAAGTAAAATAATGCGACATTAATAAGTATTAACTTTGGGTTGTACTACTTTTCCCTCTTGTTGTACCTGTAAGTAAGATCATGTCTCATTATTAAGTAGTAACTTTTGTTAGCTTATTGAGGATATATTCAATTAGGGAGAGCTTGTTGTGCTGATGATCTTGCTCTTTTCTTTTTGGTTATCTAGTATGTAGATTGTTACGATTACATGTTATTCAATTCAGTGCCATTCATATTTTGATCAAACATCCATCGTCATCAAAGGATCTATTTTTCTTTCTTTGCCTCTCTTTCATTCCAATATAGAGTAACAATTTACAGTTTCCAGGTAATAATTTACAGAGTTCTACAAAACTGCCAGAAACTTCAGAAGCTAGTGAAACGATCACCGCAAGAACGAAGAAACTTTTCATAACAGGTAAATTGCTGCTCTAAATCTAATTTTATTCTCTTTCATTTATTTGAACATGGTCTTTATTTCTTTTCGTGTTTGCTTTTTTCCTTGTGGATATGATTTTTCTTGATCATATTAAAGGAAACTTGACCAGTTCTTGTTTACTACTCAAATATGCCAAAACAAAGAGAAACAGGAAAATTTCTAATGTTGAAGTTGTCAATCAAACATCATCTCTTCATCATGCATGATTTTTGTCTGTCCTGTATGGTTAAATTTCAAAAAATATAAAAAGAAACAATATCTCGAAGCACCTTCTGTCAATCAAACTGTGTTTCTCTTTGTTGCGTCATAACCTGTCCCTACTCTTGTAGTTTCTTTCAAGGGATCCAAAACTTGTAGCACTGTGGATTCATTTTGTACTTTCTTTTATTATTTGCTAATTGATGTCCTTGGTGCTCTGTACTTATCGAACAGGTCTGTCGTTTTACACATCTGAGAAAACATTGCGTGCACATTTTGAAGGTTTTGGTGAGCTTGTTGAAGGTATGTTTGCATGTTTCATGGATCAAGTTCCATACAAAGTATAAGTTCACTTGCTAAAGCTGCTATTCTCAACAGTTAAAATTATAATGGACAAGATTTCTAAAAGATCTAAAGGATATGCATTTGTGGAATACACCACAGAGGAGGCTGCAAGTGCTGCACTTCAGGAGATGAATGGCAAGGTTAAAAAATATTAAGGAGCCTTCTTTAGTTTTGTACTTTCTACATCAACAGCTCTGGCTTATAACTGTAATTAAAAGTCGAGCCAGAAAGAGAGAGGCTGAATCTGTTTTTGTTGCTTTGTAGATAATAAATGGGTGGATGATAGTTGTTGATGTTGCCAAGAGTAAACCACAGAACTTCAGCAGAGGTCGTCTCAGAACAACACTCTGACCAGGAAGAGAAGAAAGGAGGCGTTGGGATGAAGTTGAGGTAGAAGATGCTGAAGGGAATCAATGCCCTCCTGGCTACTACCAGAACAATTTGGCAGATGGACTATCGAAATTTTGTACGTTTGAAGTTACCAAAATGATCATTAGCTCTTTAACTTAGTAAATAAATATGTTTCACTTCATATGTAAACGCCAACTTGGTCACAAAAGATATCAAGTCTTCCTGCCAATGGTAACCTTGCAAAACAAGAGTCGGTAGGAGTCCATTTTAAATTTTTTCATGTTTAAAGATATCAACTCTTTAACTTACAGATTCACAAAGTTGACCTCAGAAATGGTAACTCCATGTTTAGTCTTGTCTGCTATCAAATTTTTCCATGCCCTTTTTCTTGAAGGAAAAGTTTGATTCTTTGGTTTTTTACAATAGTCAAAAATTGAATTGACTATTGCTCTAAACTGAAAGTGAACCCATCAAGTGGTTCTCATTTCACAAGAAAATTAGAACTACTGAGAATATATATATACACACAAATATAGGTGTATCATAAGACTGTACAACATCCGTACATTTGCCTTATGTTCTTTAAAATGAGGGGATAATCAACCTATGAACAGTAGATTAACTCTTAATGAGCTGAACAACCTAACATTATCGAACATATATCATCTGCATTCTTTTTCTTTGGTTTTTTTTTTCTCTGTAGTTATAAAGCCTTGCTGCAAACCATAGAAAAGTCATCATCCCTCTTCTCCAAACCCCTTTGTGAATCTCTCATGCACCTCCAGGTCAGGTTTACTAACAGTTGGCTTCTGTCTAGCAAGCACTTCATTAAAATCGGCTCGTGTGATAGGTGGCGGTAGGATCTGCATAATCATCAATTCCCAATGAATGCATATCAGTTCATTTCCAAATGTTGCAGCTTCAAAAGGAGTCACTTGAATACAAGATTTTATTCTCTTTTTTTGTTATATTTTATGAGTGAAACTGTAACTTTTATATAGGTTTAGTTAGGCTGTTTATACAGTTAATCATTTTCTCTTTTTTTTTTCCAAGTAATAGGGTTCAGGGTTTAACTTATAAATACATATGTTGTTTCAGTTTATAGCAGGTTTTTGGATGATAACTGATCAAGACTTTGGATTACTGAATTTCACCCGTCTCCCCCTCATTAATTCTCTCAGATTCTCTCTCATTTCCACATATCTCTTTAGACCTGGTTCTACATCACCAAGTCGTTCAACAGACTACATTCAAAGTAAATCTTGACAAATTTCAACTACAAGTAAAAACAAATAAAAGCAATGCCTATTGTGTTTGAGAATTCCTGAAAAAGTTCTACTACTGATCATCTTGTGCATCAAGCACGGCAGTGCTAATTTTGGAAATGCTTCCTCAGGATGAACTTTGAACTATAAGCAGCATCAGTCTAACATTAAAAAATCAATGAATAATGTATATCCATACCTTTGAAGCAAGGCCTTTTACATCAAGTTCCAGTATCGTGGTCCGAATAGCTCCTGGTTGAGTACTTCCACAAGGAACCCACATATCATTTGTCTGCATCTCGGGTTTTCCGAACAAGTTCAAAGAGCACATCTTTGACCTATAAAATCCAGAAAAAAACTGTTTTAATAAAGAGAACTGGAAGATTTAGAGGTGGTTAAGGCTTGAGTTAACAAATGGCACCTACACCAACAGAAATGTCTGAACCTGAGAACCCCTTCTGTTTTGCGAGCTAAATGCTCAAAATCACTCTCAGTTAAGTTGTGGGGAGTGTCTCCAAGATGGACCTGCTCACAGCTCATATCACAACCCCAGTAAGAATGTAAACAACCATAAGAAGTTTATCACAAGGACTTGCATTGTTTAGGTCCACAAGAATACCTTAAACATGTGCTGCCTTGCCTTCAAATCTGGCAGAGGAATATATATTCTCTTGTCAAAGCGCCGCCGGATAGCCTGTAACATAAGTTGTGTTAGGGAAAACAACTGATAGACTCCTAACAATCAAAAGGCTTCTAGTTATAACCCACAGCTGAGAACCAGTATTTCTACACCTGATCTAGAGCATAAGCAGTATTTGTGGCTGCAAGAACAAGAACTTTTTTATCATCATTTCCTACTCCCTGAAAATGCATAGAAGAGAACCCCCTAGTAAAAGATTAGAAGGGTCATCAGATTTAAGAGCTGCGATAACGAATCATCTATTGAGATAGTAAATACGAATAAGGAAATCCAAAGGACCAATCAAGGTCTTTCACCATGATATACAATTACAAATAGTGCCAAGGTGTTACAAGTTGGTAGCAAATAGCACAAAAATTGTTTTGATTATTTTTTTTTTTTGAAAAAAAAAATTTGCATAAAAATGGAAACACAAAGTGAAAGAAACAGCAGAGAAATGCCCCATACAGCAAAGAATATAAACGCCCAAAAACAATTGGGCATATCAAAAAATGAGCTAGCTCGTGCAAACAAAAACATAAGAACACTGCTCCTCCTGTCAATGTCATAAGCTCCAATTACAAATCATCCGCCAATCATAAATTCCTTTCTTTTGCATTCACATCACAGGTACCCTCCCTGGTCATCTTACTCCAGTGATATCCCAAGTAGCGTTACTTCAAATTGTCACATAAATGACCTCACTACTATGTCTGAGAAAGCCAAGACATAAGGAGTGATAAAATTAGTGGGTCTTCTTTGACACAAATGTAAACCATTAGATCTGATTTTTTAGTCATAGGTCTAAAAGAATGAATTCTAGATATGCCAAATGGCATAACAAGATGAAGCCAACGACAACTATAGTTAGTCTAAGTTGGGAGTGGGGGATTCACTACAATTACTAACTTAATTTAGTCACAGTTCATATCTTATCTGTTGAATTAAGGCACTTAGCTAGTGAGCAGGCACTGTACGCAAAATTGTAACACAATAGTTTAAGTGTACACGTTATTGCAGAAGACAATTCTTTTGACTGTTTTTATCTGCTTGCATTACGCCAAATACCTGCATCTGCACAAGAAGCTCTGTTTTAATACTCCGAGATGCTTCACTCTCATTTCCTTCACCACGTTGACCACAAAGAGAATCTATTTCATCAATGAAAATGATGGATGGAGCATTATCACGAGCCATCTGAAAAAGACTTGAAACTAGCTTTTCACTTTCACCCATCCATTTTGAGACCAGGTCTGAGGAAGAAACACTGCAAAAAGAAACTATCTAGGACTTGTCAAAGTAACCAAGCCATCTACATGAAGACATTAAAATGCTAAGAAACCTAAACTCTGCATGTATGCCTGAAGAAATTGGAAAGTAAGGAAGTTTTATAAGGAAAGAAGCAGGAAAATGATTTCAGTTTGAGACAAGAAGATAATGGGCACCATATAAAGTTGTTAGCGATGCTTCTCTTGGGTCTTTGTCAGCAAGTGAAATTCATAAGGGAAACTATAGCTTTCACGAAGTTGTGATATATTAATATACCACAAATGAAACGACAACTTTCTGCTCCTCATCTGTGCCTTACAGTTATAATGTATCATAATATATCTTCGGATGACATCTGATTATCACCTATCATGGTCACTTCAATGTTTCATGATTGAAAAAAGCTTAAAAAAAGAAATTGGCCTCTTTTTCATGTAGTCAGCATACTTTAAGAAAATATTTATCTTAAGACGATCACTTTCTAATGCCAATTACTATCTAACATAATCAACCTCTTGTTACAAAGATCTAGCTCATAGAGAAAACATTACGGACCTTGTTACAATATCTTGATGAGCTCCCATTTTTGTCACTGGCACATTGAGCCGTGTTACAGTTATTACTTTACCACAATTCTTTTATTTTTTTCAAAAGGTTGCATTAAATTACTTTGATTTCACAGTGACTGCTGTCTATAATGTCAAAATCCACAAAGCCCAAAACAGTGAACTTTAACTGGGAGATATAACTGGCAGTTTCAAGGATGAGTTTATGCACTGTAAGTACAATAGGAGTTGAATATATAACCTGAAGAAAGTAGAGTCTGCTTCTGTTGCAACTGCCTTTGCTAGATAAGACTTTCCTGTTCCAGGAGGACCATATAATTGGAAAGCTTTCCATGGACGTCTCTTCCCTAAGGAATAAGAACCAAATAAATTTATATTTGACGACTGTGAAAAGTGTTGCATAAAATTTTGACAGATGGAAGCAAATAAACCAGAAAAAAACATTGAACATAAAAAATATACTGAGTCTTAACTTCTAAGGGGTGTCTTATGAATTTTATCAGAAAAGTTAGACATCACTTCCAATGTTTATCAAAACTTACATTCCTGAGCTACCTTTCATGATAAGAATATTGAACCTTGCATGTTTGGAGCATATGCGGTTATCAACATATCTTATGTAGGCCAAAATACCAAATCTGTTTCAATTAGAGTTAATAGATATGAAATAATAAGATTCTAGCAGGCAAAGACTTCTGTAAAGTCATCTGCAAAGCAGTGAATACAAAAGCATATCTCCTAGGTAGATAGCAAATATGCTAGGTACAGATTCAGAAGGACTAAAAAAAAATGTAACTAGCTCATCAAAGAAATACTAGAGATGTAAATTGAAGTGATGATGAGTTTCAACATTTATCATGAGTACATTTGTGCAGAATTTGGAGATAGGTCTAGTATGAAATAAAAATCTAATAAACCAAGATGCTACCATTGGCTATTTCAACTTACAAAGATATTAATACCAAGGATAGTTAACTTGAAGTGCCATAATGAACCTAACAATCCACAAAAATTCACTCTCTTTAACAGCTTGTAAAGTTATATTATAATTCAACATTCTAAAACGGCGAAGCCAGGGGGGGAGAAATCTGGCTATTAATGTCTTTGGCCATACTAGAACTATTCCCGGATGCAGGGTATACTTTTAGTTCCACTGAACATAATTCAACCGAGCAAGGAAGTTACAGCTCAAAGACAACCAGCACAATGTGAGGAACTTGGAAATAACACTAGAGATTTTCAACTGGCAATTGTGTTGTCAACTGCAGAGCAGCAATCCATATTTCTATTGATTTTCCTCTAATTAACAATCCATAGACCACCTTTTTTTAGTGCATGCCAGGCAAAATGTAATTGAGAAAAAGCATAAAACCACAAGAACAAATTTCACAATTAAGGATTAAGGAACTAACCAGTAAAAAACTGTGGAAATTTAACAGGCAATATGACCGCCTCTTGCAATGCTTGTTTAGCACTCTCAAGCCCTGCCACATCACTCCACTTTACATCCGGCTTCTCCTTAATTATCACCGAATCGAGCCCAGCTCTCAGCTTCGCTTGTTCAGAATCCTCCTTATCTTTCCCTTCTCCATCCTTTGTTTTTGGCCATTTAGCATCTCCAACATCACGATTCGAGTTTGGCGAACTTCCCCCATTGTCAAGAATGGCTCTTATCTCCTCAGCCCTCCTCAAATATTCGTTAAAGTTTTGCATGAGGGCTTCCTTAATTTTGGGGTTTTTCTCATACTTCAAATGAGTTTTGAAGTACTCTAATGCATTCATGTAAAGGTGAAATGCCTTACTATAATTAACAGCATCGTCTTCCCGAACTGCCTGCTTTACATACTCAGTGGCATGCTCCTTGAAGCTGATATACATTATGTGAACACCAGGAAAGCATACCACAACAATCCTGGACAAAGGTTGCCCTCAAAAAGCACTTGTAATTCTACAAGAAGTTAATGAGAATTTGATTGCTTTAAGCACAACCAAAGACAAAAAGACAGCTCAAATTTAAATCCAGCTACGGAACACTCAAAATAAATTGTTAAAGTGAGTCCTTGGGGATTGAGGTGGTGGTGGTGGTGGTGTTTAAACTATAAACAATCCCTCAAAAACATATTCATTTTCCGCCCAAAGTGAAAGACCCAACATCGGTAACAGCTTGACTCATCATGTTTTTAAGCTGAAATGACATAAAAACCCCCCAGAAAGATCCTTCAATTCAAAATATCGAAACCCAATACCCAATTTTAAGCTTGCATGCTTCACAAACCAACTACAAAATCTTCAAGAACTAAAAATAAAAAAGAAAGAAACTGAAGAATCCAAATTGAAAACGAAAAGATTATTGATGCAGATCTTGAAGAAGCTCATGGATCTTCAGAGGAGGTTGGCTATGAAGAAAAGGGGTTTTTCTTTTTGTGCTGTCTCTCTCCCTCTCTAGAAAATGAAACATAGTTGTGTCTTGAGAGAGAGCAGGAAAAGGAAAACCAACGAATGACATGACACAGTTTTGGTGGCTTTCACAATCACAAAGAAAAATCTGAGAAGCATGAGATTTGAAAAAAATAATAATAATTACATTTTGCCACATTATAACTACTTGGGTTGCTGGTTTAGGTTGACGTGTTTGCTGGTTTAGGTTGCCCTGCCTCTAGCGTATGTTCATGCCCTTTTTCGAGTCTGAATGTCATTCACGCCTCCTTTTTTGAACTCACATCACAAAGGAAATTGAGTTGCCAAGAGAATGTGATGAAATTTATGAATTTGGCATTAAATCCTTAGGCATTCTTTCGCGTAAAATGTCCCAAAGTTTTTACTACAAGTTTTTCAAATTTTAAAACAAACCACTTGTTATTGTCAAATGCAAACGACCTATACGTGAAGGATCATCACATTTTTTATTAATGTTGGATCGGTGACATTAATTTTACCAAACTCAATTATGCAGTGACTTCATTATATTAACTCTTTCACTTATAAAATAGAGATCCATCTTGTTTCAAATTTACCTTAATTCTCATATCATTAACGAGAATCTCATATTAATAAAGAGTTAATTAAAATTTGACAATGCTTTTCACAATCCACATTGTTATATTGAGATAGTTAAAAGAATTAGTAGTCTAATAAGTTCAAAATATTAACTAAAGTATCAAACAATGATATAATATTAAAATGAAGAAATTGTGAGAAATAACCATACTTATAAAGTGATTTCAGAAATAATCACTTAAAAAGTTATCTGTTTTTATCCAAAAACAAACATTAGTAGGTCAAAATGCTCTTAAAAACATCTTGACAAATTAATCTCCTGATATCTCTCCCTTTTGCCACAGAAAAAATAAATGCTCAGCTATTTTAACTCCCTCAACTCTCTCAGCTCTCTGAATTATATTAGCTCTGTCAACTCTCCATTGAGACTATAGTCATCAAGCTTTGATTTATCTTTCAACATTTGGCCTTATTGTTGTTGATAAACAAATCGTAAAGCAGAGATAAAATCAAAGTATGTTATTGGGCTTATTGCTGCAACACAATAATTTTGAAACTTTTTGCATAAATTAGAATATTGCCTAGAATTGTTACAAAACATGCTTGTAAAAATTATATTAAAACAAAAAAATTACATATTTTAGTACAGGGCTTGCTATAATATTTATGTATACAATAGATGTAGTAAACATAGCTTGTAGCAAAATCATTAGAACATTGCCTAGAGTTGTTACACGCTATGCATCTCTAATGCACAAGGCGTGTAAAAAATATATTGAAATAACATGTGCTAGCACATAGCGTGCAACATGTTGTAAACACAGCATGTAACTTTTTTCATCATGGCATGTAATATTTTTTAAACATGACGTGTAACAACTTGATTGACAAATTTTAGAACACGGCATGTAATGTGTAAAATGACTGATAAATTTTTTATTTTCAAAATTTCAGTGGCATTCCAATCTTGTGACTTGTGATAAGACATGATGGTCAGTGGGTGGATGACATTTACAAAGGTGGTGAGTCACGAATACAGGGGGTTATGAGTGATTTATCATTTGCAAGCTTGATGAATCTAGTTGAAAATGTTGTTTGGGTAAACTCAAAAATTCATGAGATTGAGTTACATGCATTGATCAGTACACTTGGAGAGCTATCACACCTAATTATCAAAGACGATGAGGATGTTGCATTAATTCTGCTAGAACAAAGGAATGTTCTGGCAGTGTGCGTCACCATTAAAGAACGCAATACAAATGTTATACGACATGACAAAGCTGTACAATATGGTAATCACCTCAATCAAAATGAGTTTTACAATGCTTTACATATACCACAACATTCGGTGCCTAACTCACAACAATGGCAATTGACGTATGCACAAGAGTTTGTGTAGCCCGTTAGACACACGACATTCACAGAACAGTTGGTTGTATAATATTGATCAGCATGTGCATCAAACCATTACTTGCTTTTATCCAACAAATGCAACGACTGGATGAAATTATAGAGAGTGTAATGCCATTTTCAAATGAGACTATGACACTTAAGGGCAACATTGCGACGATGCTATAGGACAACACTATGATGCTGAAGGACAACACTACATATGATGAGGGAAATGAGGATTTGTTCCTTGCTAGTGAAGATAGATTTGATGACAATTCTGATGACGGGCTTGATGAATGGCATGATGATAGCTTAGACGATGACTTGCTTTGGATAGTGACATTCCAATTTGTAATAAGGTTGGAGGCGAAACAGAACCTGTTAAAGGTGTTGATGTGCAAAATGTTCAGTGTGATGACCCCATATACAATAACCCCATCGCTGGTGAGAATAGGATTCATTCCCTTGAGACATTGCTCGATGATAGTTATTAGAAAAGGGAAAATGCAGGGATGTCTCGTATGTGGCTAATTCTAGGTGTAGAAAGGTTCTCTTTTCAAACAATTACCATTGAGAAGTTGACATGTGCTGATAATTTCTTATACAAAGGAAAAATGTTTTCCTCGAAGGTTGAGTTGAAATGAGCTTTCTACATGTTGGCTCTAAATGTGCAGTTTAAGATAAAAGTAAAAAAGTCATGTAAAGGTCGTTTAGAGGTTGCTTGCAAGGACAAGGCATGCAAGTTCAGTGTGCGTGCCATGAAGTTACCTGAAGGAGAATATTGGTAAGTTTAGACATTCCATAAAATACACACGTGTACTATCGATGGTTTGCAAGGGCGATTCCG